TAGGAGCAAGAAGCTACTAGGGGCTCCTGGCCATACTACTAGGAGCACGAAGATACTAGTAAGAAGGAATCCTTTGACCCCCTCAAGACACCTTTGTTCAAACAAGACACTTCGAGGCCTCCGCCAGCAGGTGCTCGTGTAACGCTTGGGCCCAAGCTCTGGTCATGGCGAAGTGCTGAAGTCCTGGACCGAGATAGGTACTCATGCCCCGGCACATCAGCCTCTCAAAGACTTCATCCGCCTTTCGGCGCGATGTGCACACGCCTTCACCCAGAAAGGCCTCCACGCAGGCGCTGTCGTGGGGGTTGCCCAGAGTGGTTGCAAAAAGTACTAGTAGCATCCTTGCTCCTTTCGAGTCGCGATGCCCGGGTTCCTAGTAGCGATGCCAGGAGCTTAGTGCTGGCGTCCGATCGCTCCTAGTGGCCAATCGGAGGGTTTTCTCCAGGCTCTGGGATCGGTTTACGTGAACCCGCCTGGAAGAAGGCATCCACCGTTTTCAAACTGATCACATCCGGAGGGTCTTTGCGAGTCAGCTTGGAGTGAGACGTCACGTACTTGAAGAGTGGGTCCAAACCTTCAACACTTTGGGAATTTTCTGAGAACACTTGATCCACGGGCCCATAAAAGACATGCTATGCAAGGAGTTCCAAAATGTTCTAAACATGCGAAAGTAACGATGAAAAAAACTCAAGACCAAGTCCATCTGCTCAACTCGCGACAAGAACATCTGCAAGCAGCGAAGCCAACGCCCCATGCGCTCCTCGAGCTCTTCAATGAGCGGCAGGTGTTCCGGTTGCCCCTTACGCACCTTGCCCGCGTGGCGGATCATCCGCGCGACATTCGAGAGCTGGATCGATACCTGGAGCAACGAGATGTCAGGAGCAACGTTTACTGACTCATACAGGTTGATTCTTGTTTGAAGCATTGAAGCACCCAGCAAGGTGCCTTACTACTAGGAGCAAGGACGCTACTAAAGGGGCTCCTGGCATCGCTACTCCAAGCTCCCAACCCTCCGTGATTTTCTTTTGGTCAGACTCGAGGCCAAATATGCCCAAGAGCAGCCAACCGTCGTTTGGAAAACGAGCCACCTCTCGAGACAGCAAGTGTTGGAAATCACCGGCAGGCTCGTTGAAATCCTTGGTTCGCTTAAGGAAACTTGAAAAAGGATCAGATTTATAGATTATATTTCCCTAGGGGGAAAATCAAAACTACTTCCAAGAAGGCGTCCTCCTCATCACTGGAGCTGCCCACATCGGAGGGGTCCTCAGTTGTGGGCACCAGCCTCCCTTTCACTCTTTGCACAGTTTGAGGCCGAGATCTTCGGTCAGCAGCACTGATCTCATGAGTCACTCGCCAATCGATGAACTTGAGCTGTGGAAACGTCAAGTTCTCCTCTGAGCTGTTGAATCAAAAGACCCGAGACGTATCTACAAATACAGCCATTTTCATCAACAATGCTAAAGGCAAACATGTTGCATGGATGGAAGATCCAGGTATCTCCAATATGCTTCCAGGAAAAACAGGTCCCGGAGTCAATTGTTGATTTTATATTTTTGGTGCTGGTATGGTTGGCAATGCAGATTTTGTGGAGCGCTGGTCTTGACATCTAAGTCGTATGTCAAACGGCAATAGCCTGGTAGCCCTGAACATCCACCGTTCTGGGTTGTGATGGTGTCATGTCACTATGCTATCGCTTCGCCTTCTTAAGCTGATTTTTGCAGCCTGGTGCATCCTTAATCAAGCGCGACAGCAACAAAGACCGTAGACAGAAAAAACAAAAGGGAATCAGTACGCTACAAAGAGACGAGAAGGAGAAAAGGCAGGAAAAACAAGCCAAGCATAACACCAGCAGCAAAAATACGAAAAGAAAGAGAGGGCTCACAGAGAAGCAGTGAAAGAGCAAGGCAAGAGAGAGATCATTGAGAAGCAGGGAAGCGCAGGAAAAGCAACAAAGGCAGCAAGATGCAGAAACAAAAAACGAACCAAGAACGAAGCATGATCTGCCTTAAGACAACTAGATTACCCGGGCAAGAGACCACAAGCAGTGTGTGATCTGTCACGAAAAGTCGACTTTGGACCACCAAAACACGAGGTTTCCCTTGCGCCTGCCACGAAAAGTGGCCACCATGTCCGAAAATGCGCACGGCACCACAACGAGAGCGCAGTCGCCAAAAGGGCCCCCTCCACGCCCCACCAGATTCTGCAAGCCTGCGCAGTCGAAACGCACTTCGAGGATTTCGAGAGGCATGAATGTACTGTAAATAGCAGCACGCCCGTGCGACATCTCGATCAAACATCGGTGCTTAACCACTACCGTAAGAACCCCCCGTTCGTGTGACCACACTGTTTGGGGAGTATAAATACATTTGCCAACGCCATCCCAAATGGTCTCCTGGTCCAAGTGTTCCGGGTCTTTCAGCTTGCGCTGCTTGCAGCCCAGCACGTGAAAACCCAAAGCCTCCAAACGACGGAAGAGGTGACCATTGCGAGCATCCAACAGCTCAATTGCGAGGCGCCCCAAGCACACCTCCAAGTCTGCCATCCTGAGCAACATTCTTTCTTGGCTGACCTCCTACTTAATTGAGTCGGCACCTACTGAATTAAGTAAGGAAGTAAGCTACTAACCACTGAAGCTTCTAGTAACTGGACGCAGGATAGCTCATGCTCGCACTGATTAAGGACTTGGTATGCAAGATAAGAATGAAATGAATAGCAGAGTTTTTTCCACGTCGTTCTCTGGGTTCCAAAACGAGACTCATCAAGAATAAGGTAGCTTTGGGGGTGAACGAGGGTGAGGTCCACTAGTTCCAAATCCCTCTTGACTCAGGCCCAAGTCAACAAGCTGTAGCTTGCAATGAACTCCATTACCTGGTGCAAGGTAGTTATGCATGTGCCATATGCCTGCATGAAAGGTTGATCCAAACCACTGGGCATGGGGACCACTGGGCCTGTCATCAAGTAACATGCAACCCGCAGTTCTCCCCCCACACCCCACAGTTGGCAGGTTCTCCTCTTCCAATACCTCCGCAGAGTGAGGCTGCAAAGAGTGTAGTGAGCCAGGGAACCAGCCCAATCGATGTTGAGGTCCTTGCTGTCGAAGAAGTGATTCTGAAAAATTCCTCACAGCCACTTCTCACAGCGACTAATTCAAAAGGAGTCTTCTTCCGTTGATTTCTCTAAACATGCGAACCAAAACGTTAGCCAACCGCCCACCTGGGTCCATGTTCCAAATGAGAAGCTCCTTCACCTGCTTTGCACTCAACAGCTCTTGAACTCGTCGGTGGTGTCGCAGTGTTTCCTGGATTCGCTCCTGGTAGTAATTGATGTCCACATATTCCTCGCCGCATCGACAGCACAGGTCGACGCCCCAAAGCTTCTTGTTCTCACCGATGAACTTGCACCTCTGGCTGTTGCAAGCTTCTCGAGTGCATGGAGACCGTCGGCCGCAGCTCTCGCACAGGAGCGACTGCAGCGCCCAAAAGGCGCGCCGCAACACCTTCGGCCGCCCGACCGCTTTTTGGAGCCTTCGGTCAATCCACTCCTGGCAGCTCAGGAGCTCAGGCGCTTCCAGGCTAGGCTTCCAGGCCAGGCTCCAAAAAAGGCGAGTTTTGGAAGCAAAAACCGAGCGTTTGGTGGATTGATGTCCAATTGTTTGCACCAAGTGGACATGAACCTTCACATTTGGGCATGAGTTCAAAGTTTCTGCAACTCGTTTTGATCTCCTTTCGCGGTGATCGATCTTTTTGATGCGGGGGGCAAAACAATCCAGCACCGAACTGCTTTCCGGCATGCTCGGGATTCTTAGCCGTTTTTAGCGATCCCCAGATCCTGAAGGTGCTCGATGCGCGACACCTTGGCTCGTTGACGGAGGTTCGCAAGCATTTCCCACCATATTTGATGGATCGAAGTGGCGTCCAAGCGTAAGGCACGCAGGAGGGCTCTCACATGACAGGAGGTCAGGTAGCTGCAGATCTGAACTGCCTCAAGCGCGAGAAGGAACCCCGGATGATATGCAATTGACCCTCAAGAGAAGCACTTCCATAAGGAAAATGCTACATGAGTGGAACATTGAGCTTCCAAGGTCCCTTGACAAATTGATTGCTATGTCTTCCGGCTTGATTAGGTTGGTTGCCATCACCATTAGGTTGGAGGCAATTACTTCTAGGTCGGAGGCCGTCGCTATTGGGTTGGAGGCCATCGCTAGTATAGGACTTGTCCTCCTGCGAACTTCACTTCGTCACCTCGCATCGCGCACCGCTCTCATCGCCGACCACCTCGCGCCTGCGTCTCCAGGATCCCTTTCAGGTGCTTCTCATCGATCTCGAGCTCCAGCACATGCTTTCCATCCCAGAATTCCCGGATCTCTGGGCCCATTCACTTCGCTTTCGTCTCGCGCCGAAAGCGAGCGCGCTGAGCGCGGCATCTTGGGCAAGAAACGGTGTGCGGTGTGCAGGGCTCGTCGGGAAGATGGACAACTTGAGCGGCACTGAGAAAGAACGAAGGTTGGATTTGCTCGAAGGCAACACGGTCCCCCTGCCTAGATGTTTGGGTCTGTGGCTTCAAGTTCCGTCTGCCTGCTGTTCCTGCGCTTCCTGGCAGACTCTTTGGACAAACCGCTCTCAAAGAAGTAGATTGAAACCGCAGGACATATCTGGGCATCTACACGAACAAATCAATGTAACGCAAGTTTAGCTTAATTCTGTGTGTTTGTCGCTTGTGACTGCTAAATGTTTGGCACCGCTTCGCTTTGGCTCTCCGAACCTCCCATCCGAGCGATGCCCCGGTCTTCGCTCCGCACCGATGGGGTCGCCCGAGGAAAAGCATCGACCTGCGTGCCCTCCGTCCCCGAGGTTTTCGGCCCAGCTACTAGGACCAGGAGCGGTCGGACGCTACGAACGGGGCGAAACTGGCCTTACGAACGGAGCAAGAAGCTACTAGTAACAAGGAATCCGTTGAAAACGTGGAGTTGCGTCTCCACAAACGTCTCCTCCAGGCGGCTAGGTTGGAGGCCATCGCTATTCGGTTGGAGGCATGCAACCTAGTAGCGATGGCCTCCATGCTAATAGCGATGACCTCCAACCTACTAGCGATGTCACATAAGATGTTGTGAGAATCCTAGTGACAGGAGGCAGGAAATATCGTTTTGTACATCTCAGGGAGTTCTGGCTCTGGCAAGAAACCACACAGGTTTGTTGAGTCCCCATCTCCATCCCGAATAAACCCAACATGTTGAAGACTTTGACATCCCTCATAAGTACAGGGATCCAAGTAGGTGTGCGGTTGATCATACACCAAACTATACCAAACTCCATGATGATCTGTTCTCGTACGCGTGGTCGTAGAGGTCGGATCTCCAAATCGAAGCGCAACCAAACCTTCCAACTGAAGCAGAATGAGTGGGACTGAAGGCCACTCATGGCTGCTCCACCCTCCGATTCTCTATGCAATTTTTTCAATGGAGGCCATTGCTCTTAGGTTGGAGGCCATCGCATTTAGGATGGAGGCCATTGCTATTACTCAAAAGAATGATGGTTTGGAGGATGGTTGGAGGAAGCCCCTGCTCCCACTCCCCTGCCACCAAACGCCTCATAGCATGACCTGAGCCGCGACTCCACCGGACATCGGACGGACAGGTCTTCAGGACAGGTCTAACCTCTGGCCTTGTTGAAACGATGAGTGGAAGTCTACTTGGCCCAAGTGGATTCCCGTTTAAACACCTAGAAAAAACACTGGGCCCAAGACATGTGTAGTTTCATATCTGTGAAGGAGAATCCCCTAGGTCGAGGGTTCTGCTTGTTTCAGATAGACGATAGATGTCTTTCAGAGGGTTTTCGAGTTTGGAAGCATAATTGGCCAAACGAAGTAGTGCAAATGCGTCCACTCCGATTCTGAAATCAAGGATGCCACTCCAATTCCTCCACAATCACTGGTAGGAAATGAAGCCTTCCAACTTGGTAAAGCAATTTAAAAGATCGACAACCATGTCCCTCTGGTTCCAAAAGGAGCTTTCTTGGCCGGATGGAAGCACCAGCAACAAGATCATATGTGACAAGGTGTGGAAATTGGATGCCCTGACTCGAACTGCAGTGATCTTTGAACCCGGACCCAGCATGAAACAGGCCAGAGAAATGCATTCACAAAGTGTAACCCCCTTTTCCCCTAATCGAAGATACACAGCGGCTTTGAATTGAAGAAAACTGCCCTACCAGGTAGTTACAGCTCACATCCTATGCCAGTGGCCCAGTGCATCTCAGTCGCTTGCAGCTCTTTTCGGGGCCACAGGTGCATCTCAGATGCTCGACTCTTGTGGGACTCAAGGCTCGGTGCGCAGGCCCCACATCGAACGCCCAGCCCAACATGTGTCTCATATATAGGGGATTGAGAGGACCAATGGCACAGACCCCAATGGAGAGGTGGTTTAGTAGTGAACCCCCCATGTTTGAAAAGGACGGGGTGCCATCGAACCTCTGAAACCACTGTACTTTTTTTGAAGGAAAGCATACAAAAACTCCAGTGAAGTGGACTTTGGATCCCATCTTTGAGCAGTTGACCTGGAGCCGCATTTCGTTGCGCAATCGAAGAAACATCAAGTCCGATCAACCGAACATGAAGACACCCAATGACACCTGATGACACTGTCAGTTTCTTGATTTTGGATCTTCACTCCGTAGTTCGGTGGATGCTTGAACGGCAAAGAGTATACACCAGCATGACGTGATCCCCTACTTCCTACATGTACTTCCGGTAAACCTCTAGACATTGCTTCGTCCTTGAGATGCATGGAAACAGACTAGTCAAGACTCTCTAGTCATGCGCAGCCTTGTTTACATGCTGCGCCGCGCCAAGCTGTGCCTGTACAAAATCCCGGGCTTTTAACGCCGAGACCGGAGCGAAAGCTGACGAAGCACACCCGAGCCACTACCCGAGCTCACCGAGGTAAGTCTTTACCAGTTTTAGACCGAAACCAGATCAACCATGTTGAATCATGTTGAAGATGGTCGAACACGGAAGGCTCGGGAAGATCTAAAAAAATAATGTAATGTTCCGTCTTCTGACCGCTTTCGTTCGAAGGCAGTACGCAAAAAAAGAAGACGCTTCCTGCAGCTTCAATCCCAAAAACGACGTGTTCCTTTCGGTTCTACCTGGTGGTCCTTGCTATATTCTGCAAAAGAAACTATGGGATGATCTTTGCATATATACCATTGCATCCTCTATTCCCGCTATTCCGTCCTGGTCCGAAAAAAAGAAGCTATACATACACTCTATATGAACATTGATGAAAGGTCTTGCTGTGCTTGAGGTGATCCGACGGATAGTATCCGACGGCGACCATGACTTTGGTGCCTCACCGGCAAAAGGGTTGAAGACTCTTACTAGTAGTAAGGGCCTCCAACCTACTAGATGGCCTCCAAACTAATAGCGATGGCCTCCAACCTAAGAGCGTCCTTGCTACTAGTCGCGAGGTGCCTTTCCGGCAGGGTTGAAGACTCGTTGGTGGGTGGCTTTGGCATCCCAAAGCTGTGTGTGCCGAAGTCTAACGGTGACCTGTCCTGTTCGTTTCCTCCAGTTGAAAGGTTGGGATGAAGCCGAAGCCTGTTAAAGAGAGCAAAATGATGCAAAAAGACCTCCCCATCCCCTTCCAATTCAGTTTTTTCCTGCGATGAAATGATCCAATTGTGGCGCCATATCTGGATTGAAACAGGGGAGGATCTGGACATTCTGCGAAAACATCGACACTGATCGACACTGGCGAGGACATGTGCCACGCAGAGAAAGAACGCGGATCCTTTCCCAGGACACTGACGTGTCCCGTAGTCGACACTTGTTCGTAGACGACCTCTGCTCAAAATGCTTTGGATAGAATGGCATTCTAGAACAAGCTTAGTACAATGTAATTACTATATACTTTCCTGGTGTGACAATCCCGACAAAAACAAGTCTTAAGGCGCATGGTTTCATGCATCAATCGCTGACAAAAATGCTGCTTACACAATGATCTCAGATGTGAAGCTTTCCCAATGATCTCAAAATCATCCGGAAAGGAACCACGACCTTTTCCGTGGACCATCGGCCGGTGCCGAGTCGGTGCACTTTCCTTCGCTCGCTTCGCTCGTCTGCGAAAAAAGGTGTTCGACGTCTCGTCCGACGTCTGAGGAGAGTGGGATACATTCAAAGTAAAAAACAATCATTGAAGAGATTTAAAAAGCAACCTTCTTTTGACCTACTACTGGCGATGGCCTCCAACCTACTATGTTACTATATAGATTCCCTCCAACCTAGAAGCGATGGCCTCCAACCTCGCGTGATCTTTTTGGTGCCAACTTGGACAATGTGACGTCATTGTCCAAAGTTTGTGCCACAACTTTCCCTTGTAATGTTTGTTATGTTTTTCCGGATCTTTGTGGTGAACTTTCGACATGGGACCTTTCCTTCTTCTTTCAGCCGTTCTTGATGTATGTGGGTTGAAAGGACTTTGTCGGGATTGACTGATGCCCCATTTGCCGGCCTTCCTCTTCATGTATCAATAGGAGCTGCCTCAAGCAGCAGGCATATTCTATGTTCACTCTAATCTCGTCGAAGTAGAGTCTGCCTATTTGGATGAGTGTTGGCAAAGTGGATGTTTGGTCATGAACCCAAAGTCGGAACACCCCAGACATCAAGGCACACCGTGGCGGTATGCCATACTACAGACGACATGACAGATTGATGCGCGAAGTTCATTGGACCGCGCCACCTGCCAAGTCATCACCCTGCCGCGGAGAAACCGCAGCGGGTTCCCGCCATTTGCTTGCTTCTCACGCGGCAACCTGCGACGGGCTTGGCAGGACCACACATGGGAAAACATATTCCAGGTGGTACAAATATTCCAAGCAGCGGCTGACATACACCTGTTCTGCCATTTTCATCCATCAGACACGCAACAAGTGGCACAGAAGACCAGCGCATACTAGCGCCCTAGCCTTCCGTTCGACGATCTTTTAAAGGGTTGACCTGGTTTTGTCGTTCGACAGAAGACCTTAATCAACACGATGGATTCTTCGTGATCTCCACGGTCTTACACCATGGCATCGGCGCGTCAGTGACGTCGCCCAACCTTGGCACGTGACACACTACACGTGACAGGCGAGACGTCCGGACTTGACGACATTCCTGCAGAGGTTAAGTGACCTTATAGGACCCGACAGGAGTACCTATAGGATCGATAGGATAGTCTATAGGTTTCTTCAACCTCTGCTGGTTGGTACCACGGAGATGGGGGGGGATACCGGGAATGCCGAGGGGCGTGTGGGTAGTTCGCATCCACGCGAGATGATCGATTTGGTCTGGTCGACGGGAGGTCGACGGGAGGTCTGGGGGGCCTCGGGGCTGCTTCGGGGCCAGGTATCCCAGGAAGCGACTCTAAGCCTTGGGTTCTGTAGGATGAAGGCCATCGCTAGGTTGGAGGCCAAAGCTTTTGTTTGCCAGCTATTTCGTGATGGAAAAATCGGTGCCATACTCTGGAGAGTCTCTGCTCACCCACCCACCCACCCACTGCTCGTCGCCTCAAAACCGCGCCACGTGCAGGTCGAGGTTGATCTGCGATGAAGACATCGTGCCGCGGATGGGTTTATGAGAAGGCATCATCCTCCACTTAATAGCGTCCTTGCTACTACTAGCTTCTTGCAACTAGTAGCGATGGCCTCCAACCTACTTGCGATGGCCTCCACCTAATAGCGTTCTTGCTACTAGTAGCTTCTAGTGCAAGGAATTGCGGAGAACCGTGGTGGAATAATGAGGGATAACGTTTTTTGTTGCCTCAACATGGTTCAACCGATCAGTCAGTCTGGTCGAGCCGGGTGTTTGTATTGATGGACCTTTTGGCCAAACCCAGGCTGCGCGTTGAATTCTGTACACCTGGAAGACCAGTGGCTAAGAGCTGTGGCGCCAGGACAACTGGCACAGGTTGACTCCCTTTTCACGAGAACAACACGTCGCTCAAACTGTAGTCCGTGACCATAGTGCGAATTGTATAGTAATCAGCACTGGGGCCAACAACCTGAGAAGAAACTATAGCAATTTCCCAGCACCCAAACGGTAAACACATCTAAACTCCATGCTAGTAGGATGCCGTGGGGGATCTATTATTCCTGAAGCATCTCAAAACGGCGCTTCTTTTTTTCCCATGATGTTCCCATTGAATTCCATGTTTAAGAAAAAAACATGCTATAAACCACTGAACCTCTGAACACACGAGTTCTTCCCCTCCGCTCCTCTTCGAGTTCCTCCACTTCTTCACTCACCGTCTCCTTCGCCCGCGGACCGTCCCGCCCGGCATGGTGTGGAGGCTGCGAACGGGGCGCCGTACCGCTACGAACGGGGCGCTGAGGACACTACGAATGAAAAAAAGGGCCTTTCGTGGTGCATTTCGGCTGGTAGGATGTGGTTTGAAGATGGTTCAGTCACTTGGGGTGGCCACCAATCGGGCTTTGCGTTCCACATGAAGGAGCCTCTGACCACCGAAGTGCTTTGGTTGATGTTGGCTTTATATAGGGGGGGACCATGAGTGCTGAAAGTTGTACAGATTGCAGCTCCCCATGGACCCTCGTTGTACCTCCCGTTAAAGATTCCAACTTGGTGTTGACGGTCACTAGGTGGCAGATGGGCCAGTTTTGGGACGAAACATGGATTGAAATCCATGGCCTCCAACCTAGAAGCGATGGCCTCCAACACATGTCACCTCCTTCTTCCGCGACCCGTGACATCACCCATCCCAACCCCCTCCTCCGTTGCCGTGACCAGGGCATGCAGCGCCCTGAGGCGCAGGGGACGCAGCCAACCAAAACGCCGCGCTCTGCGGGGTGTGGCGCTGAGAGCGGGATCATCCATTCCCAGAACCGACACTTCAGGACTCAAACCAGTGACGCTGTACAGACTTCTGGAGGTTTTTCTCCGGGATCTGGATCGGATGGCCACTGGGAAGGTTACTGTGGAGGTCTTTTTGTATGTGTAATGCCTTGTTCCTTCAGAATGACACTGATTCAGCTGGGTGAAAAGAGCAAGCTCGCTACGAAAACTCACTTTGTGTGTCAAAAGTCGTGCAACATCGGTGGCAACTGATTGTATACCTGGAAGCCCGAACTCAACCAGAAATAGGCTGTTCCAACAAGGCAAATGAGATCCTTTGCATAACAAGCGGTTGTTTGTGGACACATCCTTTTACTTCTGGTTGTGTAGGCTTCCAGAAGTCGCCCTGCTGGGGACTGGAACTACCCATGGAATTGTCTTAGTGGAAGGCAGTTCGCTGTCAGGCTGAGAGGCTGGACGAACTGAACCACTTCGCATGAAAGACCCTTCGACCATGTCTTGTGTAGTGAGAGACTCGAGGCAACATGACATGAGAAACATGACATGACCATGCAATTCAACGTTTTTGACCATGCAATCAACATGCAGTTGTTCTGAACAAGATCCAACCCCTCTACTTTTCAATGAATAAGCTAGCGCCGCTTCCAACTTTTACTTCGATACAAGATTGAAGATTGTAGCTGGTGGATCCTGCCTTTTAGCTCCGGTGAATCCTCCAAAACCTCGGGCCTGGGCTCCTGTGGCATTGTCGAGGAAGAATTACTGCTGGTCTCTTGCATTCCCACCTGCAAGCAGACCACACAAACTCCCAGGGAGTCTGGAGAATGATTGAAATATATTGAAACGATGGCTATCGCTAGCAGGTTGGAGGCCATCGCTAGTAGGTTGGAGGCTGCTCCAGGCTCTTTCCAGCAGGTCTCTTGATTTCAAGCAAGTTTTCTGATCCAAATAGAACCACCTACCGGAAGTGGCGCTTAAAAAATTGACTTCCTCCCTGCCGTACGCTTTGTTTGTCTCTGCACCGCTGTAACTGAAGATGCACCCTCTCCACCTTTGGAATATCTGCATGAAGTCTGACCACATGTGTATGTATATATATATAATATACTATATACATTGCCCAAATTAACGGTTTTTATCCAGAAAAATTTGCTGTCAAGTACCCTCTCTCCCATTACGGGCATGTACCAAATATGCCAAGTGGCTGGTTGATCTGGCGTCGAACCTGAAAGGTTGTCCTCGAGCGTCAAGACAAATGTAGACCTACTCTCACCCATTCATCCGCAAGGACGTTTTTTGTGGCACCGAGCAAAGGAAACACGCCCCAAACAATGGTTGAATCGATCAGCAAACACATTACATAGTATGTAAGAAGGCAGCTTGAACAGTATGCTGAGTCTTGTGTATCTTTGAGTGCAGGTGTTGGTGTGAATTTGAGAAAACAAATGCGACAAAACCCGGTGTTTTACAGTGCTGTCTTGCCCTGAGAGTGCTGGGAACTAGTTAAAAACATTGTTTTTGAGTAATTAGACAAGTAACGTGTTATTTAAAGTAATCTCTGAGAATGATAACTGTTATAGTGAAAACGCTTTATGTAAAATTTGTCATTTCAACAGCCTTCCTCTGGATCTCTGAGAATGATTACTTCTATTTTAGAAAGTTCTATACAAAAGCGTTCATTTTCAAAGCTTTCTTCTGGATCTCTGGGACAGTAGATTTGTCGAGATGGGTGAACATTAAACAACCATCAGTGTGTTTCTATAGGTTAGTCTATATTGAATCTATACCTTGGAGCCCAAGGTCAATGATCTCTAACAGACTCTAACAAGAGATATCTCTGGAAAAGTTCGTAAATATGAGATCCTTCATGTTTAATAGAAACACGTGCCTTACTAGTAGTAACAAGTGCCTTACTAGTAGTAACAAGAAGCTACCGGGAACAAGTGCCTTACTAATAGAAACAAGTGCCTTACTACTAGGAACAATTTATATTTTCATATATTGTTTCAGTCGGTTGCATGACAGGAAAACTTGCTCTATACAAAAGCTTTCAATTCAAAAGCTCCCTGGGAATAGTTACTCTATATAAAAGAAGTCTTAAATACAAGCTGTCATTTCAAAAGCTTTCCTCTAGATCTCTGGGACTAAGTACTTCTATGTTGAAAGTTTTATGTACTATATAAAGCACGTTCACTTCCAAAGCTTTCTTCTGGATCTCTGGGAAAGTAGATTTCTCCAGATAGGTGAACACTGAAATAATCATCGTGTTTCTATAGGTTAGCCTAAACCTTTAAGCTCAAGGTGAATGCTTTCTCAAAAGAACTATCTATATATTGGAAAGTCGAATTACTAGTATAGGATCATTCATATACAGCTGTCATGTCTCTAGATCTCTGGAACAACCAACCCAACATAAACAAATAAACAGAAAACATAGTTGGATATTGTTGAAAACTCCTGGTCACACGCCTGCATGACAGGAAGACTTGCTAAACATTGTTTAAACAAAATAAGCAATGGTTGTTTGTCTTCAGCAGGTTGCATGACAGGAAGACCTGCTGAACATGTTGATTGTTTTTGTGATTGTTTTTGAATTGTTTGTTTTGCTTTGCTTGTTTGTTTGTTTGATTGTTTGTTTGTTCGTTCGTTTGTTTGTGTTTGTGTGTTTGTTTGCTTGTTTGTTTGATTGTTTGTTTGCTTGCTTGCTTGTTTGTTTCTTTGTTTGTGTGTTTGTTTGCTTTGGGTTTTGACGTTTTTCTTGTGTTCAGAATTCAGATGCAAACGGTTCATGTTTTCTGCAAACAATAAAACGTGCGTTTAGCCTAGTCACCAGTACCTTTACATGTACAAAACCACGCTATTTGCAGTGTTTTGTAGTGTGGAGTGGAGAGTGAAATTCACTTCCCCCACAGCACACCTTCTGAAAGTTTATATAACCCTAGAAGAAGTCCTCAATATGGGCATTACATTTAGTTTGGTTACCTACTCATGTCCTTGTGATTCCGCAACTTTCAGATGTGCAGTCATGGTCTAGGGAAGAGGTTCTCCAAAAACGAGCTCCCTATGAGCATCTGTCAAGCAAAGCCCGATCAGGGCATCTTCAAGACTCCCCCGATTAGACACATGTGAGATCATCAAACTTTCAAACTACAGGTGAAGAAGCATTCATAGTGGCTTAACGAGGACTTATTTCGTCTCCATTCCATCACATCTGGAGCAATCCATGGACATGACGAAGAGAAGTACATCAAGCCAAAACGTCCGCAGTCTTCAATGACAACAGCCCCTGGTCGCCCTGCCAGCTCTGGTCGCTCGACGCAGCGGTCGTTCTTTTATCGGTGGCCCTGAAGGACCCTTGAGGTGTTGTCGTGTGGTTGGTGTCCCAGCTTCCCCTGGGCTGAATTCATTTGAACACATTAAACACAATCTTGTTACTAGTAGCAAGAATGCTACTAGTAGCAAGAATGCTACTAGTGGCAATGCCCTTTGTTACTAGTAGCGATGCCCTTGCTCCTAGTAGCTTCTTGTTACTTTAGTAGTAAGGCCAGGAGATACAACATCACACAACCATCCTTTTTCCAGCCAGCCGCCCAAGTTGTCTCACGCCAGCCGCCGCCCGTCCTCCGGCTTCTCCAGCTCCGTCGCTTCCATCTCATCCGGGTTGAAGTGACCCAGGTTGCCCAGGGAGACCTCCATCACCTGCGAGAGGCGCCCTGGGATGGCAGGGAGAAATGATTGGCCGGATCTATTAGTAGCTCCTGGCATCGCTACGAACGGAGCGATCGGACGCTACGAACAGGGCTCCTGGCCTTACTAAGAACCAGTTGACTGGATCTCGGGAACCAGGTAGACTGGTTCAGTTGGAATTCTCTTGTGCAAAACACGCGTGAGAAGTGAATTTCAGCAGAGCTGGGTCTGGAATGTGAACTCTTTGCATGTCCTACACCCACAGCCAATATATATAAGTCTACAGCAAAACCCGTTTTGTAGCGGGGCATGTTCAAGTTCAACATGTTCAATGTCGCCTTTCGGTGTAGTCCTCAAGTGTATCAGGATGTTTCAAGCTTTCTGGATGTTTGACCCTGAGTACTGTGAAAGACTCATCTTGGTCAAAAGCATCCCTTCCAGCCTCATCAATCTCATCTTCATCAGGATCCACCTGCATGCGTGGAGTTTGTGAAACATGGCTGGATGACAGGCTTCCCGATTTTCCAGGCACCTCCCCGGTTCAAAATCATGTCTTGAGACCCTTCTTTGGCTTGTTCCGAGAATCAACTCCCATCAGAAGACGTCCAAAGTTTTGAGGAGACAGTAATAGTATGAGCACAGTATAAGACGCCTACCCTGTGACTTTAAGAAAAGTAAGCGCGTGGGAAATCAGGTCATAGGCTGAACTTGCTGAAGCCGACATCTGCAACCTGTGGCTCCTTGGCTACCCTCTACTCTTTGCACTGCTATGAACCACCCAAAAAAGCCGGCTATAGCGGCTGTCAAGGAAATGGTAAACTTCAACTATTTTTCAGGACCTCAAAAAGCATATGTGAAAATCAGAAAACACAAGGCAGTAGAAGGGGTATCAAAAGGAAAGGAAACCAAGAGGCCTTGGAAGGAAATGACAACATCAAGCAATGAGGGCATGCAGGGAAAACAACATGATGTTCCATACAATTGAAGCGACATCAAATGATGCTTCGGGAGATAAAGAGAACATAAGTATCAAAAAAAGGCACTGATTTTCGGAATTGAAGCTAACTTTAGTTTTTGGTTTCGAAACAACATGGCAACGAAAGGATTTGAAGGAAACACGGAAGCAAATCAAAAAAAATACACAGCACATGACATGCAGCAGAGAGGGTGTCGAAAAAAACATGTGTATATAATATATAATCATTAGTTGTCCTTTGTGGGGGAACATGCAGTGGGCTGACCCTTAAAGAATTCTCTCTGGTGGCAGGCGCAGGCGCTTTGGAAGAAGTCAGTTGCCGATTTTGTGGTGCCGCATGGAGGGGGCGGAGGGAGAAAACGCGCAGCGCCTACCCCCAACCGAACTATTTGCAAAGAACCCACCTCAGAAAAGAACGCCCTGAAATACATCAACGCTCAACCCCCCAAAAAATAGCCAAAGGGGAAATCAAACAACCACAACCAGAAGACTGGACCAAAGAACCAGAAGACTGGACACAACAGGCGACCAATGATTCAATGGATACAACTCGAGGAGCAAGAGACCGAGACACAAAAGGAAAACGAGAAAATCAATAAAGTAGACCTGGACGAAGGCGGACGGGAAGGCTGACATATCCTGACTTCTTTTCATTCTTGGACCAAATTTTCTTGTTGGTGCAACCCATCTAAAACCGTCGACGCTTTGTTTGGACGGACCGCCGCATGCCAAGCGCGTTCGGACGCAATTCGCGCGAAACGCCTCGAAGGTCTCGCCCTTGAGATCTGGCCTTGGAGGAAGGGCATCGCTGTTAGTAGCCAGAAGCTACTAGGTGGAGGCCATAGCTATAAGGTTGGAGGACAACACTGCTAGTAGCAAGAAGCTACTAGGAGCAAGGACGCTACTAGGAGCACAGGGCATCGCCACTAGGAGCCGGGAAGCGTTCCTAGGCCTTACTACTGGTAGCAAGAAGCTACTAGGAACAAGGGCATCATTGTCGGCTCGCCGTGCCGCGGTCGACGGTCAATCGTGAAGGACGCGTGGCGACACCGAGTCGGAAGGGTCGTTGCTGACACATGTGGCTTCCACTGATGACTGACACGGCAACCAAAACAGGAATGCCACTTGGTGGTGTTCTCGTGTGTGTGTACCCCTTGGAGTCATAGGGATCCTTTCGGATTGTTTCGCTTTGACTTTAATTTTGAAGCAGCAGGGCACCTGGGTGTAAACGTACCTGCACTTGTGACAACACTCCACTCTTCCATCGCTGTGGTTTGTTTCCATGGCGCTTGCATGATATTCCCCTAAACCTGCCTTAATATAAGATTTCTTGTATACTGCAGACCTGCACGCTACGTCGTCATTTGTCGTTTCGGGATCGGCTTGAGCTTTTGACCCCACTTCCGTTTGAGGACCTCCAGGCTTCTTTGGTTTTCACTTGATCTGGTCAAGATTTGGATACCCAGGTTGGCGTGTGGCAAACCGCATCAAATCAGTACGCAATTCCATAAGTGTGTTGTGTGTGCGTGTCTGTGTCTGTGTGTGTGGTTCTTTTTTGAGTTGAGGTAGAACAACCTTTACCAAGAGAATCTTGAGACATGATGGATATGTTTGGCAAAATGGCTTTGAATACCTCTTGCGCTCCTGGCAACAGTGATGTAGGTGGGATTGGATGGATCCCAACGAGCTCCAGGAACGAAGGAGCAAGTGGCAAATCCATTTGTCAACGGTCCTTGTTGGTCCGTTTTGGTTTCTCTCCTTCAATGGAAAATCCAAATGGAAGACGTTCCATATCGTTTGATCCATACCCTCTCAGCCATTTCAACAATCAATAACCAATATCTTGCCAATCCTAGGCCTATAGGGAGTGGAGTAGATTATTGCTCTTTCCTTCTTCTACACTGGAGTTGGCGCGTACAGTCCACTTCCAGAGCTGAGCTCTCAAGCGCGTCCTGTGTGGGACTTCGTGGGTGATGTACAAAGACCTGACCGACGCCGGGCGCAGCCGGTCATCGAAGACCTGTTGCTTTTTCTGGTGATTCTGGGGAAAGAACCGTTCCGGTCGTAGCTTCTTGTTACTAGTAGTAAGGCACTTGTTACTAGTAGCGATGCACTTGTTCCTAGTAGCGAACAAACACACACACACACACGAGATATGAACACAATACAATTGCCTTCAATCACCGCTTTTTTCAGACTTGCCAATGGAAAGAGAAGCACCGTGGTGTTTATTCTGAAGACCTACATTTAGTGCTCCTTTGTCATACCAAGATTGCCAGGTGGTGAAATGTGCGAACGCTTGTGGAGTCTACCGACCATGAGCAAAGCATCAGCATCGGGCAAAACCATGAAGAACCCGCATGCGTGGTTTCCTGAATGCCAGGGACGCAGAACTGAACGACTGCGCCACGGCGGTTGGACGGGTGGTTGGACGACGTGGGCGCCGCACCACCATTGATTCCCAAGGACCACCATGCGACGGAGCAACGCATGCCTTCGTTGAGTCGAAGCATTCGAACCGTGGAAACGAGCCATGTCAATTGACATGAAGAGTTCGAAGGCAGTCGATTTGGAAGGCTTCGGGGTGAATTCTCGCAACGATCGCAACGCATGACTCATCACCACCAATCAACAGTGAGGAACAGGGTCGATGACGTGTGGTCGATGTGGTCTTGGTGCTCCAGCAGTGTCAGCAGAATCACTGAATTGAATTGACCCTTCAAGGAACAGCGAATCTGTTGAACTGCAGTTCGGCAACTAGGGTAGCTCGAAGGCACCTCAAAGGGCCACGCAGTTCGAGCGAAAAGCGCGTCGTGAGGTTCGCCGTGTTTTCCACGCGGCGCCTCAGGTGGCAAGGGGCCCTCGTTGTCCTCGCGAAGCGCACGGAGGGGCGAAGCTGGGAGAACAGCGAAGCTGGGCCGGTGCTTAGGGTGAAGTCCTCTTGATCTCCTAGAAGAAGGCATGAGAAGTCATTCCGAGTTCCCCCTAATTGGCTCCCTATCGAGCTAAATCTGAAATACCCAAAGCCCCAAAGGCCATGGCAAAGAAATGATAAAGGGTGGAAGTTGAGAACTGAGTTGAAACACATCTTGTGAAGCGAATTGAATTGGACCGAATTTACTGGAACAAAGCTAGGAGCAAAGGGACGCTACGAACGGCCAAACAAGTCGTAGAACGCATCTCATCACGACGTCGGTCCCATGTGAAGATCTCCGGCGGCAAGTTATGGTCCTGGACGTGGCCAAATCCGAAATGACCAGAATCTACTTGTTCCTAGTAGCGTCCCTGTTACTAGTAACTACTAGTAGTACGGCCAGGAGCCCCTAGTAGCGATGCCAGGAGCCCTTAGTAGCGTCATTGTTCCTACCCTAGAAGTCCAGTTCGACTATATTTTGACCGACTGAAGTACAGGAAGTTCCTTTCAGGTCACCCAAAGACCATTCTTTTTATAGTCGACTTGACTCCCAGCAAACATTGGAAGAACTTTGACTTAGCTTCTGCGGATTTCCCACCAACAAAGGACTTCCGGATTCACTTAAAGGCTCCTTGGTCCCAACCCGCCGAACAACACGAGATTGCACGAGACATGGCACATGCCTTGGGTATACTACCAGTAGCGGTGAATGATGACTGTTAGCAAAGGACTTTCTCAAGAGTAATAATCCTTTACGACCGACTACAGGTAATGGAACACACCCTACACACACCATGATCATCAATGAGTGTCCTCAAAACGGTTCAATTGCTGAAATCTTCAGTCTCCGTGCTTCGTCAGTGTCCCTCTTCCATCCGTCCGTCGTGAAGATTGCGGAGACAGGCAGTCCTGTGGAAGGCTCGCCACCTGGTTCAACCTTGGCACATCCGTGTCCAAGGTGTCACGCAAAACGTCTCCCGTCTGGTCAAACCTTCACATGTTCCATTGCCGGTGGGCTCGAAGGTCCCTTCGATCTCAATGGGGAGACCTTGGTTTAATAGCGACGGCCTCCACCCTACTAGCGATGGCCTCCACCCTGCTACCCTGCTAGCAATGGCCTCCAACCCCATTAATAATTCAGCGCGGCATCTGCCGCATGGATCGATCGAGGATCCGGGAACTGTTCCATCCGCAAGGATGAACGCCAGTGCAAACCAGGCGTTGTCAAAGGCGGTCCTCTCGACCCCCTGCCCCTCCCCCCCGCGCTCGTCGGAGATGCACGTCCTCTGCCTGATACTGACTGACAAACAGCACTTGTTCCTAATAGCTTCTTGTTACTACCAGTAAGGCACTTGTTCCTACTAGCGTGGCACAGCCACATCGACTTGAAGAAATGGAGTCTTAACCCCGTCGATGTGGAATTCCATGTCTCTTGGACGGACTTGCATGCCTCCGCGTGACTCGCTTTCCCTCTTCAGAGGCATCCAAGAGGCTCGCTTTCCCTGAAGAGCTCCTGAACACCGCACTGGTGGAGAAGCAAACCAGTATCTGCCGATCCCAAACCGTTAAAGACGTGTCAAGACTCAGCACCGATTTCGGGTCGATCGGTTTTCCAGGTGGCAAACCATCCACTGTTTCAGGTCGAGAGTGGCCCCAAACGAATCCATGCTCACCTGCAGAAGCTAGTGGTGTCCTTCTTCTCCACCAAATGGTTCCGACCAGATCTGGGATGGTCACGAGGTCGCTCACCCCCGATGTCGAGCCCAACTCGACCCACAAGGTCGCCTGGTGCTGCTTGCGGCGAAGCCAGCCAACCACCTGTGGGGCGGGACCAAGTGGTCACCACCATAAAAGGTCCACGGGGTCCAACGGGCTATGGTAACCCATTGGCAGTGCTTAGTACTGCCGTAGTAGAAGAGTGCACGGTGTTCTTTTCCGAATAGGCATACTGCAGACGTCTCCACAGGTTCTTGAAGATACTAGTATTCTCAATTGAACCCGTGTAAGAGCTCTTCATCTTAACATCAACTGAACCTCCCACTTCCTCACTACGCCTTGCTTCTGTTGTGGCCTACCTTTGAGGTATCTTCGGTCCGTGTCCTCTCGGTGGACCACGGACGATCTCGCAGAAGGATGGAATGAACCAAACGCGATTCCATCAAACCATTGACCTTCGACCCAATTTTCACCTTTCGGATGTTCCTTTCCTCTTTCTTTCATTGTTTTGCAGTCCTTTTTCTTTCTGTATAGACCATTAAACTCATTAAACAGCTCTTTCTTTCTTCCTTTCTTCCTTTCTTTCTTGCTTCTTTTATTGCATTTTTTGTTTAAACCGTCTACCCTTCGACTCAACTTCTGTCGGACTCTGCAGACTCTCAGCACCGCAGCGCACCTTCCAGGCGCAACAAAGGCCGGCCTGGCCGTCGAGCTGGTCACCGCTCATGTCATTTCGTACAAGACTGGGTGCTTCTGGTGCAACCTGTGTAATAACCAATCACTCTGTGTTCGTAACTTCTAATGCCTTAATGTTGAAGTTTGTCACTACCCCACTGCAACACACACACACACACAACAGCCCCAAGATGTTGACCACTTTCATCAGTGTGGAAGAGCGCAACAAGAAATTGCACACACACACACACACTGACACACACATACAAAGGCACCCAGAGTCATCGTTGGAGAGAAGGATTTCAATCTGATCCCTGAACATCGCCTAAACCACTGACCAAGACTTTTTGAGGGCTGCGGCATGCTCGCTACAAAGGACAAGAACTCCATGTCTTCCACCTTGTAACCCTTTTGGAGGCACAGCAGCACCGAAAAACGAACGGACAAAAGCCGTTCTCTTCGGCAGACACAGACTCAGTTGGGCCGTTGTTCTTTCGACTCCTTCGGAAGATTCATGGACCACCAAGAGCCCTGGAGATCAATACAACCGAAGACCAGCACAGCGAGTTGCCCAAATGATTGAAAACATCAAACCCCAAAGCTCCCAAGGGCTCCTGGCATCGCTACTAGGAACAAGGACACTACCCCAAAGCTCCGTTTGATGTATGAAAAAAGGTCCTGAAACTCGGCAAACGGACTTTCTTCGCTACGAACGGAGCCAAAGGGCATCGCTACTAGCAGTAGCAATCACGCTACTAGGGGCGCTCCTGGCAATACTAGGAACAAGAAGCTACTAGCGTCCTTGCTCCTAGTAGTCAGGCCAGGAGCCCCGTTCGTAGCGTCCGGGCCTCGATGCAAACTGTCCGCCCAAAAACCCTCGCCCCTCGGTTTACGTCGAGCATCGATGAAGGCACACAGGAAGACTGCAGCCAATGCGCCCACGACACCTGGGAGACATGTCAAAGCTCTTCGCTATTAGGTTAGAGGCCATCGCTACTAGGAACAAGACGCTAGTAGCCACTAGCAAGAAGCTACTAGGTTGGAGGCCATCCCAATGAGTCCCCCGCTCTCCGAGAATAGGGCTTTTAGTCATCCGGTCGTCCTGAGGGTGCCACCCATTAGCAAACTCATCGTGTCACTCTGTGCCAATTCGTCCACCTGACCAACTGCGCATGTGAAATCAGCGTGTGAAATCAGTCTTGTGGACTCGCTGTAGCCTATTATCAGCCCCGTCACAAGAGGTTTTACCAATCCGAATCAGGGGAATCAGGGAAGTGGATGAATCACGAGTCTAATACCACTGGTCATTTTTTCCCATTCACACGGTGTTCGCGGCAGCTTTTTGAGGCTTTGCCAAGCTGCACGTCGCCACTGACGGCAGCTCAGCGGTTCGACGCGGAGTTCAGACGTGCCCTGCTGCGCTGCCCAAAATAGGATCTCCCAAGCATGACGTTCCTCAATTGGTTCTGACAAGATATCTGGACTGCCTTAGGTTGGGTTTTTTTTGAGGTCGACTATCTTTAGGGTTCCTCCTAAGTAGTAGGCAGCATCCCTCATACGCTCGTCTTTGACACAAAGCATGATCGAAAAAATTTCAACGTCGCACGGGTCAAATGGGAAGAAAGACGCGCTGAGAGCGTTGTGTTTTTGGTGGAGCTTTCTTTCAAACACTGACATATATCACAACGTCACACCCAATCATAGGATGCAGGCGCCGGAACACCCAAACATTCCTGGTTTGCTTCACCAGTGAACACAGGACTTCTGAAAGAAAAGCACCGCTGAAGTCCTTCTCTCTCCTTCCTCCCTTTCCCTTCGCCGCGCCTCCGTATTGGTGGCATTCTCATCCTCGGAACAACGCCAAGGATCACATCAATTCAATCTCTAGGATCAGGTTGAATCGTTGAATCGTTGATAGGATCACCACGCAAAGTGTTTTTCCAAGCACTCCGTCAAGGCGCTACCTTGATGCCATTTTTGGGGTAGCTTCTTTTTGGTTTTGCGCTCTTCGTACTACAACTGATGCATTAAAGAGGGGTCAACATGCTTCGTTGCCATGAACACAAAAATGGTGTATACATGTAGATAGTACTGCATATGTATATAGATATGTAGATATGTTCTGTGTTGATGGCCTAGATAATATCTAGTGCAAATTCGCCAACAGTGAATCAGAGTTCCATTGGTTGGCTTATCTTGGCTTCATTGGGAAAGCAACATGTAAATCAGGTCGAAATGAACCTGGATAAACAAATGGTAGAAGAACTGGTCATCAAAAACGTCGGTCACCACATGCGAGGCTGAAGGGAAAAGAAGAAAAGTCATGAAAGAACTCCAACAAAGACTGAGTATGCTCAGCTGAGACGGATTAATTGGTTCCCCAGCTTCTCAGCAAAGTAGAAAAAAAGAAACAACACATCACCAATGAGCTACAGAGTATACAAATTATACTCAAATATACTCATTATAAACCATCCATGAACTATACTCCAATGTAAAAGTCCACCGCTCTTACCCTCCAAAACACATCACTTCCAATCTTCGTGCTACCTTGTGGGTTTGGTCCGCCTGAACTGCGATGTAGTTCACGGCAATGCGAGGCGTCTGGCGCGAAGTTCAGCCGCTCGGTTGGGATGGGATTCCTTTGACACAAAGTGGACAAAAGATGGGGAATGAAAACAAGTGGATCGGGTGCAAATGCATCTTCCAAGCAACATGCATAAGAGTTTCAGTTTGTTCCTTCATAGTTGAGTTTGAATGGTAGTTCATGTTTCGATCATGCTATGCGGCCAAGAGTTATCATTCATTATGTTGTACCTATCCCAGCAAAAAATTGAAAGCTGAATGTCGCGTGTCCTCTCACAAAACTTACCAAAAACATCCAAAAGCAAAGCGCAACAAAAGGAACAGAACCAACACCCAACCTCTGAGCTGCAGCCCCATCGCTAGCAGGTTCGAGGCCATCGCTCGTAGGTTGGAGACTCACTGGTCCCATCGTGAGTCACGCATTCCAAGCGAACCCGGCCTCTGTGTGCTTCACCTGAACGCCGTTCTCCTTCACAGCCTGTAGGGCGGCAGGGAAGAGACATTTCCAGGACCATCCTAGTAGTAAGAATGCTCCGTTCGTAGCGATGCCAGAGGTTCGTAGTAGCGTCCTTGCTCCTAGTAAGGCCAAGAGCCCCATTCGTAGCGATGATGCCCTTGCTCCTAGTAGCGTTCTTGTAGTTCTAGTTAGTAGTCCATAATTTAATTGAACCGATTTTGAACGTATTTCAAAACAATAGCAACGGCCTCCAAACTGGTAGCAATGGCCTCCAACCTAACAGCGATGGCCTCCCATAATTTCATGGCGTTCAATGGCTAAATTCGGCCGAGTTGGTGGTCTGTGATCTATAGTGGAGCAGTTGTCCGTCTAAGGAATCCCAGCATCAAAGGAAACATCATAAAGAAACGACAGATACTACGAAAGATCTATTCTTTGGTCATGGTGACCGACCCACAGTGTCACTAGATTGAGACAACCCCCCAAAACCACAGGACGAACCATCGGCATTCACTCCCCAAAGCC